AAGAAAGTTTATTAACAGCCTTTGTTTTGAAAAAGACTGAGTTATTTTAGTAAATTAAGTTTTGTACAAACTTTGTATGTGCTGTATTCTTTGGGGTCCGTAGCTGGGGCAGAACAATATCTTTAAGCTGTCAGGGTATAAAAACACTGATTTTGCATGACTGAACACTTCAACTTGCTGCTCTTAAACTCCCTAGTTTCAAGAGGAAAACATCCCTTTCCAACCTCCTCACCCCAAGTTCTCTTCCACATACTTCTGGTACAAATGAACCAGCGGTGGGTTTCACATTGTTACCACCAGTTCGCTTCGCATGTGCACGCACCTTCCACATATGCGCCCAGCGTTCTGTGCATGCGCTTTGCGCGCACGCTTTCTGCGCCTGTGCCCAGCCTCAAAACCGTGCCTAAATAGGACAGCATAGAGCCAGGGCAGATAGGCCGGCCCACCCGGGATCTCCGCTACCAGTTCGCCAAAACCATACAAACCGAATGAATACTACCTCTGAAATGAATCCTCTGATCCAGGGGTGAAATCTTAGCAGGTTCTGACAGGTTCCGCAGAACCGGTAACGGAAATTTTGAGTAGTTCGGAGAACCGGCAAATACCACCTCTGGCTGACCCCAGAGTGGGGTGGGAATGGAGATTTTGCAGTATCCTTCCCCCAGAAGCGGGGAGGGAATGTGGATTTTGCAGTATCCTTCCCCTGGAGTGGGGTGGGAATGGGGATTTTGCAGTATCCTTCACCAGCCATGCCCACCAAGCCACACTACGCCCACCAAGCAACGCCCACAGAACCGGTAGTAAAAAAATTTGGATTTCACCACTGCTCTGATCTAAAGCAGGGGTCTCCAACCTGGCAGCTTTTAAGACTTGTGGAACTTCCCAACTCCCAGAATTCCTCAGGCAGCCAAGTCTTAAAAGTTGCCAAGTTTGGAGTTTCCTAATCTAAAACATGATGGGGGAATTACAGGGCCACCATCCCCTACCTTTGTCTGTGCTTTGATGGCCAATACAAGACAACTGTACCATACACACACTTGAATATGACTTGGCTGTAGAACAGGAAGCCAGTGAAAGCAGGGGTGGGTTCTAAATTTTTTTACTACCGGTTCTGTGGGCGTGGCTTATTTTGTGGGCGTGGCTTGATGGTCATGTGACAATGCTTTAGGATTTAGCAGAGGTACTGGTCTACCAGGCTTTTAACTGCTTGCAGAGCTGTACCGGTCTACTCATTTGTTTTTGGAGGCACCGGTCTACTCATTTGTTTTTGGAGGTACCGGTCTACTCATTTGTTTTTGGAGGCACCGGTCTACCACCACACTGCCTTTTAACACTGATCAGCTGTAGGGCGGCCGTTTGAAGCCCCGCGACAAGAGTTTAAACAGTTTTTCCTTATAGCCCATCAGCTGGGACTCAGGAGGCAGCAAATAGATTTGGGGTGGGGCCAAATAAAAGGTAAGAATAACGTGGGGGGGCAGGGGGGGCAGAAACCGGTTCAGTGACGTCATATCGTCACCGCTACCTACTCGGCGGAACCAGGCGGAACCGGGAGGAACCCACCACTGAGTGAAAGGGGATTTTTTGCATTGTCCCATGCATAAGTTCCAGGTGGATCCCTCCCCCCCCTTTGATGACAAGCCCTTCTGAAGGAGCCATCAATCTTGTTCCTCTCTGAAAATAATCCAAGGTGAGGATGGGAAATAAGTTCATTGCGCAGTAAAATCATCTGTAAGATTTATTGCGCGCTGCCATAAATTATGCAAGGTTTCCAAGAATTAATCCTCATAGACCCAAGTCCATCATGCCTCTCTCTCTCTCTCTCCCTCTCCCTCTCCCTCTCCCTCTCCCTTTCTCTCTCTCTCTGTCTCTCTGCCTGGATTGTGTCACTTCCAACTTCAGGAAAGAACCTAGCACAGTATTGATGTTCAACAGTGAAAGCGGTAAATTGTAGAAATGCAGAGGAAATTTGTGTGTTTTGACAAGCATCTACACCTGGGGAAGGTGCCCTTAAATTTATCAGCAAAAGGATTAATCCATTCGAGATCTCTTTACAGGTAGTCCTCGACTTACAACAGTTCATTCGGTGACCATTTGAAGTCACAAGAACACTGGAAAAAAGTGATTTATGACCATTTCTCACACTTATGACCATTGTAACATCCCCACGGTCACGATTTGCATTCTGATGCTTGACAACTGACTCACATTTACGACGGTTGCAGTGTCCCGGGATCAGGTGATCCCCTTTTGCGACCTTCTAACAAGTCAATAGGGAAGCCAGATTCACTTAACCACCATGTTACTAATTTAACAGCTGCGGTGACTCACTTAACAAATGTGGCAAGGAAAGTCGTAAAATGAGGCGAAACTCACTTAACAAATTTCTCACTTAGCAATATAAATTCTGGGCTCAATTGTGGTCATAAATCAAGGACTACATGTTTTGGGAGTGTGCTTTCTATCCAAGCCAGCAAAAGCACCCTTTGAATCTCACTTGTTTTGGTTTGTATAAATACTGTTAATGTGAGAGACAAAGTACAGGTAATCCTTGATTTACAATCTCAATTGAACCCAAAATTTCTGCTGTTAAGTGAGACATTTGTTAAGTGGGTTTTGCCCCATTTTACGACTTTTCTTGCCACAGTTGTTAAGTGAATCACTGCAGTTGATAAATTAGTAACCTGGTTGTTAAGTGAGTCTGGCTTCCCCACTTTGCTGCAATGGTCATAAAAAAAATAGTCATGTCACATTTTTCAGTGCCGTCGTAACTTTGAACGGTCACTAAATGAACTGCTGTAAGTCAAGGACTATCTGTATAGAAGTAGCACAAAATGAACACACACTTTATCAATTACATAATATACCTACAGAAAATCCTTGACTTACCACAATTGGGACTAGAATGTCTGTCACTAAACAATGTGGTCATTAAGTAAGCCACACCCAATTTTACCTTTTTTGCCACGGTCATTAAGTGAATCATATGGTTGTAAAGCGAATCTGGGTTCCCCCACTGTTTGTCAGAAATCCCCTGGGAAAGTCTCATATGGTAGCCACATGAATCCAGGACACTGCCAATAAAGTAAAAAGGTATAAAAGTTTCCCCTGTCTGATCATGCCTGACTATAGGGGGCGTCACTCATCACCTTTTCTTAGCTGAGGGAGCCAGTATTGTCTGAAGACACTTCTGTGGTCATGTGGCTGGCATGACCATACGCTGTTACGTTCCCACCGAAGTGGTACCTATTTATCTACTCGCATTTGCATGCTTTTGACCTGCTAGGCAGGCAGGAGCTGGAGCAAGGAACGGGAGCTCACCCTGTCACGCAGCGTTCGGGTCTCGAACTGCCAACCTTCCAGTGGACAAGCCCAGCATCTCACCCACCGGGCCACCACACCCCTCAAAGTCTCGTAAAGACAATGCTGAGTGGCAAACCGTGCAAATGTTGATTGTGTGACTGCAGGAATGCCTGTGCCGGTTGTTAAAATCAAGAACTGGTTGCAAGTCACTTTTTTTTCAGCGCCACTGTCGTTTTCCAAAACCCTTCAACAAATGGGTCGTAAGTCGAGGATTACCTGTACATTAAAAAGGCAAGCAGTCCCGGAGGAGTCGATACTGAATTCATTACCAAACCAGCGCCGTGTTTGACATTTTAATTTGGAAATCACAAACGGGTAGCACAGAAAACAATTTTGGAGTTGTTTTAACAATGCAGATATGAAATGCTGAACTTGATATGGCTTTTGAGAGAGAAACGATCGTCCACTTTCAAAGAGAAACCTCCCAAAAGATTTGGGACATGGCAGCCAACTTTGGATAAAGACTCCCCTGATACTATAGGTTTGCTACCTGTTTTCCACTCTACAACAACCATCAAGTTTCTTCTGACAAAATAATACCAATCAGTAGATCGATACTTGTTCACCAAAATGATATCCTATCCTAAAGACAAGAGTTTGATTTTTGGGGAGACCATCTGGAAGTTGAATTCACACAAGGCTTAATTTAGAAGCCGGGCTTCGAATGTTTTCTTTTTTTCATTTAGGAGACCCCTAAATTCAACTAGAAAGCTTGATTTGATATTAGCAAGAATGCCTAACCTGGATTAAAAAGAACAGGGATCAGTTATATCCTCACTTCAGAAGACTTCCCAGCATCAGGCAGGATCAACCATCAGGCAAAAAAAAAACAACAACCGGGAGCTTTGAAAAAGGGCAGCAAATTGTTGGCTCTGTTATGAACTTTGCAGTTTTCTAACAATGAGTCAACAGGGACTCCAAAAACCCTTGGCTGCAGGTGGGCTTGGAGTAGCTTACTCCAGCCCCGGAAGGCTGCAATGTAATTGGGCCAACCCCAATTCAGCCCAAGGAGATCTTTAATTGAGGTTCTCCGCTGTTTGTGTGGCCAGTGGAAGCCATATGGAGATTCTCCAGTCATCCAGTTGTCTCAAAGTGCTTTTTTTTTTCACCAAGAAGCCACTGGACTTTTTGTTTTTTCTTTGAAGAGGTTTCGCTTCTCACCCAAGAAGCTTCTTCGGCTCTGATGAGCCTTCCATTCCCTCCAGCATTCAGTCAGAGCCGAAGAAGCTTCTTGGATGAGAAGTGAAACCTCTTCAAAGCAAAAAACAAAACAAAACCAGAAAGTCCAGTTAGTGGCCTCTTGGAGGTGGAGGGGGGGAAAGCACCTTTGGGACAAGCTGGTGTAAAGTCGGAGTTAGCCCAACCCATCCTTGCAAACCGGTCCCTACCCGTCCCTTCCATCCCACGTGCGGCAGAGGGTTTTTCCACCTGGGCCATGCCAGGTCCTCTGGTCCAGCACACCTGGGGGAGTTACCTGGTCGGAGTAAACCCGAAGCCCTCCAGGTGCAGAACTCGAACCTAAGTAGAAACCTAATAGGAGGAAACTCCTCTAAAAGACCCGAAGTTTGCTCCCCAAATCCCGGACTTTCTCGGCGCTGAAGTCAGGGGACGATGGGGAACCGGTGATCCACTCCACTCACCTTCAGCCTCGCGGACCAAGAGAGCCAAGGCGAGAAGAAACGCTGCCGGGCAATCCATAGAGCCGAGCCCCAAAGCGGGTGGATGGAAGACGGAAGAAACCCCCGCGGGATTTTTTCTTTTTTTTTTCCCCCCCACCGGTGCCAAAACTCGCGGCGGGGTTTTTGCTCGGGCACCATCCAGAAAAAGCATCAGATCTGCCCCATTCCCAGCCTTCCCTTTCAGGCTGATCGGAGGAAGCCCAAGGCAAAAGGGGGAAGAGGCCCCGGGAGAGTAGATCTCTTTTTTCGGGATCCCGCAGGAATCCGGGCTGGGCAGCGAAGAAGCGAGCGCCCAGCAGCGGCCGGTCTTCCCTTTCCTTTTGCGCCAAGCGCGGCGGCGGCTTCTTCTTCTCCAAGCGGGCGCCCGGCGCAAGTTCTTTCCTCCGCCCTGCTAAGTTGCCCACCTCCCCTCCGCTCGCGATCCCAAAAATCCCGCTCCCCTCTCCCTCCCCACAACCCCGACGGCTTTGAAGATCTCCCCCTCCCCTTCCCTTCCTTTCCTCCCCGGATCCCGCGTTTTGACGTCGCCCGCCGGCCACCCACCGAGGCTGCGGCGGATCTGCCCACCGGCGCGGCCCCCCGCCCCGGGCGAGGCTGCCTTTCTCTCTCTCTCTCTCTCCGGGCATCGCTCCAGAAGGAGGAATCCGAGGAAGGGTGGGGGGGGAAAGGATCGACTCCCCGGCCGATCTCCGATCTCCTACCCCCACCCACCCATGCAAGCGGAGTCCCCCGGGCTTGTGCAGCTCGCTCGGCGGGGGCACAAACTTTGCAGCGGGATCCCGCCATCCGAGCCATCCCGGCAAGCGAGCAAAAAAAAAAAAAAAAAAAACGACCCCTTATCACCCCCCCCCCACCGCCACTCTTTCCCCTTCCCCACCTTTTGCAGTTTGCAAGATCAAAGATCCGATCCGGGGAAAAATTTATTAATATATATATGGAGAACTCGAGTGGGTGCAAATTGCAAATTGCAAAAAAAAAAAGCCAGATCGGCGAGTTGTTTTTTATTATTATTATTATTATTATTATTATTATTTATTATTATTATTATTATTATTATTATAGTATTATTTATTATTATTATTATATTATTATTATTATTATATTATGTTAATCTTTAGTGAGATTCACAGCCTTTGAGGCTGGTTAATAGCTCAGCAGCTCCAGTCCTAACCAAGGACCTAGGAACTTAATCTAGGTCCTTGGTTAGGACTTGAGCTGCTGAGCTATTAACCATTTATTAATAATTTAATATATTTAAAATTATTTTAATTATTTAATATTTAATAATATTATTAATTTTATTATTTATTTTTATTATTATTTAATCTTTAGTAAGATTCACAGCCTTTGAGGCTGTTTAATAGCTCAGCAGCTCCAGTCCTAACCAAGGACCTAGGAACTGTTAAAGGTTATCCTCGAAGGATGTTATTAATATTATTATTATTTCATTCCCACGCACGCCCAGCCATGCCATGCCTTCCACCGCTTCTTTCCCGGGCTTTGTGCAGCGTTTGTGGGTCCTGTGTGTGTGTGTGTGTGTGTGTGTGTGCACGCTCCCTTCCTTCCCTCTCTCTCTTTCTCTCTCTCTCTCTCCCCCCCCCCCCCCACTCACCCTTTTAACACAAGCGAGCCGCCGTGCAACCCTCCCGGGGAGGGAGGGGGCTCCGTTGCAAATCCTAACCCGGGAAGCACCGCTTTGCAACTATGGGGTGTTGCAGGCTTTGCAACCGGGGATTGGGGGGGGGGAAGAGGAGAGGGATCTCGCGCCCAAAGCAACCCGGGGGAAGGGATTTTTGCAAAAGGGCGCCTTTAAAAATAAAATAAAATAAAATAAAATAATAAAATAAAATTTAAAAAAAATAAAAAAATAAAATAATAAAATAAAATAAAATAAAATATTTCCCTTTGCCTCTCTGCAAACCCCCCCCCCCCATCCAATCTCTGGTTGTTTTAAAAAAAGGAGCTCCGACTTCCATCCCGGGCAGACTCGATGTTCAAAACGGCGGATCCAGAAAGGGAGGGGAAGGGGAAGGGGAGGGGGTGGGCAATGGGAGATGGGGAGGGGGAGGTTGCGATCGTGCCGGGCTTGGCTGAGATTCCGGAGAGTCACGTGGAGAAAGAGAGCGCGAGCGAGCGGGGCGTGCAACCTGATCCTCCTTTTTAATATTCCATGCGTGGTGCCCGCAGTTTGATCTGCTGCGAGATCGGGTGGGATTTGGACCCCCCTCCCTCATTGAAAAGCGGGGGTGGTGAAAAGAGGGGGTGCACTAGTGTGTGTGGGGGAGGGCTGAAATGTAAGCCCACCCTGCAAGCACCCTGGAAGCTGGATGATTCTTCCCCCCCTCCACACACCATTAAAACTAGCCTTTGTCACATGTGCAGAAATGGATAGACTAACGTTGAAATTGAAAGATAAGGAAGACTGGCAGTATTTCAAGATATGGGGCAGTTGGTATGAGTGGATAAACCAATGGAAAAGAAAGTAAAAGTTCAAAATTTAGTAAGGAATTAAAAGTAATAATTATACACCGTCTTTAAGGAAAAAAAGGGAAAATAAGTTTTTGTATATGTGTGTACTTATATACATTATATATACTTTGTTGTTTGTTGATGCTGTTGATTGTATTTTAAGGTTGTGAATGTTTTATACAATTTTTTTTTAAATCTAATAAAGTTTGTTTTTAAAACGAAAAAAATAAAAATAAAACTGGCCTTTGCAGGGTCTTCCCCCTCCGCTTACTCCAAAGTTGGTCAGAAAAAGAAAAAACATTCTGCGTGTTTTAATCACGCGTGTACCTACAGGACTTTCCCTGCCCAGCTCCCGAAGGTTTTCCCCAACCTAAGTGCTCCCCAAATCTGTTGGCTTCAGAGTCTTATGATTCCCGGCTGAATTGGCACAACGTTGCAAGTAGACATCAGAACCACCCACAGAATACACAAAAGAGTTGGAAGGGACCTTAGAGGTCCTCTAGTCCAACCCCCTGCTCAGGTGGAAAATTTATTTATTATTTATTTATTTGTTCAACTTGCATGCCACCTTTCTCCGAAGACTCAAGGCGGCTTACAATGCATTTAAAAACCATATATAAAACATTAAAAGTTAAACCATTAAAAACAATTAAAACCCATTCACACCATTCATGGCCGGATCTCGCCGGATCGCAACAGCGAGATCAACGGCCCCAGGCCTGCCGGAAAAGCCAGGTCTTCACCGCTTTTCGGAAGGCCAATAGGGTGGGGATGGTCCGGACCTCAGGAGGTAACTGGTTCCAGAGAGCTGGGGCAGCCACAGAGAAGGCCCTCCCCCGCGGGCCCACCAGCCGGCATTGTTTAGCTGACAGGACCCGGAGGAGACCAACTCTATGGGATCTTACCGGTCTCTGGGAGCTATGCGGTAGAAGGCGGTCTCGAAGATATATAGATATATAGATATATATACACCATTTCAGACGAATGGCTGTCTGGATTATTACATGAAAAATAAGCCACAGGTCAAATCTTGCAGGGGCATCCCCGTCGATTGACTTGTTTAGTGACTGCTTCGTTTACTGACCTTTTGGTGGCAGTGATGAAAAAAGTAACTTTGTGACCAATCTTCATATTGACGCCTTCAGCGAGGGGGTGGTAGAGCGAGTCTTTGTACAGGGAGTCCTCGACTTACAACAGTTCATTTAGTGCAGGGGTGAAATCCAGCAGGTTCTGACAGGTTCTGGAGAACCGGTAGCGGAAATTTTGAGTAGTTCGGAGAACCGGCAAATACCACCTCTGGCTGGCCCCACCGTAGGGTGGGAATGGAGATTTTTGCAATATCCTTCCCCCAGGAGTAAGGAAGGAATGGGGATTTTGCAGTATCCTTCTCCTGGAGTGGGGTGGGAATGGAGATTTCGCAGTATCCTTCCCCTGCCACGCCCACCAAGCCACGCCCACAGAACCGGTGGTAAAAAAAAATTGGATTTCACCACTGATTTAATGACAGACTGAGGTTACAACTACTGAAAAAAATGACTTACGACCATTTTTCACACTTAATGACCGTTGCAGCATCCCCGTGGCCAGATGATCAAAATTCAGAGGCTTGGCAACTGACTCATATTTATGACGGTCGCAGTGTCCCTGGGTCATGTGATCACCTTTTGCAACTTTCTGACAAGCAAAGTCAATGGGGAAGCCAGATTCACTTAACAACCAGGTTACTAACTTAAGAACTGCACTGATTCACTTAACAATGGTGGTGAGAAAGGTCGCAAAATGGAGCAAAATTCACTTAACAAATGTTTCACTTTTAGCAAGAGAAATTTGGGGTTTAATTATAGTCATAATATACTAGTATGCCATATACTACCTGTATATGGTGCTGCTACTCCGGTTACTTCGGAATCCCTCATGGAAAGGCTATTGCAAAGAATTCCGCATAGGAAGAGAGGCTAATTTTATTTATGTCTTGGTATACCACCTTTGTTAATTTTACAAATCAAGGTGGTTAGAACATATCTTACACATACTCCTCCTCCTATTTTCCCCACAACAGGGAAAGGATTCTAGGCAGGACTAGAATTCTCTTGTCTTCTGGTGGTTGATCCAAAGTTACCCATCCAGATATCATGCTTACGGCAGGACTAGAACTCACTGTCTCCTGGTGATTGGCCCAAAGTCACTATTCCAGCTGTCATGCCTAAGGCAGGAGTAGACCTCTCCGTCTCCTGGTAACTGGCCCAAAGGCACCCAGTTGGCTTTTCATGCCTAAGGCAGACTAGAACTCACCATCGCCCGGTGATTGGCCCAAAGTCACCCATCCAGCTGTCATGCCTAAGACGAGACTAGAACTCCCTGTCTCTTGGATATTGGCCAAAGTCACCCAGCTGACTTTCATGTCTAAAGCAGAACTAGAACTCTCCATCTCCTGGTGATTGGCCCAAAGTCACCCAGGAGGCTTTCAAGGCCTAAGGCAGAACTACAACTCATCATCTCCTGGTGATTGGCCCAAAATCCCTCAGGAGGCTTTCCACACTAAGGCAGAAC